CGCGCCTGCCGGCCTAAGGCGCTGGGCTTGGCTGCAGCGGTGCCTCGGGATATAAAGCAGACAAAAGATGGTGGATGGATGCTTTGCTGGAGTAAGTATGCCCGCGCTGTCCTCCGCGGGGGGCCTAGGTGCACAGCGGTCACCATACCGGGAACATCCCAGTTGAGCTGCTAGTGACAGCTGAGTACAGGGTGCCCGGAACTTTTTTGGTGCCTCCCCCCTCCCCCCCAGTGGAATACCAGTTGGAGAGCTGGACATGAGGAGAGATGGAAAACCACCTTCTGCAATGCTGCATGCATACCTCTGTGTCAGTCTCTGCGCGTTCAGATGTGTAACACTGAACAGCTACCATACTTGCCTTTATTTATTTATTTTTCTAATTTAATTTCAATACAGTTAAGCTTTAATTTTATTAATCTGGTTCTTGTTATGTTAAAGCTTTGGTAATGTATGATGCCAGCGCGTGAGATGGGAATGTTCCGTAATTCACTAGAAACATGAAGCAACTCTTTAACTCATTCTTTCAGTGTTGTTGCTAATAACTTACTGAGGGTGGGTGATATGAGTTGGTTTCCAGCTGGTTTCTCGTGGTCTTGGATTTTCATACAGCTGATCTTTGCACTTTATTTATTTATTTATTTATTTTTTAACCAGCTCCTGAAGGCAGTTGCTATGTATGTGGGGAAAGGGTAAGGAAAGGGGACAGGGATATTTAGGCTTTGCTTTTCTTCTCCTCTTTTCACCGTTTATGAGGTCAGGAAAAAAAAAAAAAGACTGTGACTGTGGACTCTTAGGTGGGGAGATCTGGAGTGAAACGCACTTGTGACGTGGGGTTGCCTTGTGTGCAAAGAATTTTACATGCTCAGCATTGGTCTGTGAAAATACCCTAATTCGTATTATGGGGAAGAGCTAAGTTGATACTTCCCTTTTCTCTATTATGCTTTTATAGTTTTGTAAAATACAAGGAAGATTTATACACCACTAATACATTTTTTTATTTTTTTTTAGGAACAAACTTTGTAATTTCTTGTTTGGTCTGGTAATTTCTATTGCCATATAAGTCCCCCTACCCTCTGCGGCGCAAAACATCAACCGACAAACGATAAAGACCTATGGTTCTTGAGTTTAACTTTCCCAGAATAACCTTTTAAAAATGTTTTAATAAAATGAAATTAGAGATAATATGAGAATAGCATGAAAGGTTGACTTAAATTCCTGAAAGCATAAAAGAGGAGCTAAGAAGAAAATTTTTCAACTCTTCTTTGTATTGAACCACTTAGGGTAGTCTATTTACTCATTTCATTGAAATGTAAACTATGACAAGTTTAGAGAGTCTCTGGGTTATTTATATGGTTTCTTAATGACTGCCCAATATTTTATTACATATTTTACTGTTTTGTACTTTTTTCACTATGATCCTATACTCTCCTTATACTGACACTTTAATTTCTGTATGAACTTCTATTCTCTATTTAAAACACAAAATGAACAAAACTACAAGACATTAAAAGGACAACGTATGCCAGTAATTAGAATGAAAAATACTTGGGTAAATCACGAAGGAAAAATAGCGGTCATCTTGAATACTACTGCATGCCTCTGTCGGCAGATGTCATTTCACTGTAACAGTGATTCCGTTAGTGAATTTTATAGCGCTGGAAAGATAATTCATTCTTAGTGTGCTTAGCTTGCCCTCGTGACATCATTTTTTTGACATTATTTTGTTAGGATAAAATATCTTATCCTCAGCAGTATGGTAGACTGCTGCAAAAAGACGTCACAGATTTGCATATGCAGTATGTTGCAGATTTCCAAATGTTTATGTATTACATAAAATGATTGATTAAAAGGCCTATCAAAAGTATTGAACATCTAAATGATTAATAATTCCTGTGCTTTAATGGAAATTATATTTTGTAGGTATACAGATATAAAATTTTAGGACTGCTTCAATCAATCATATTTATAAGCATCTCCAAATACCCTTTTAATTAGAGTTTTTAGAGAAATTTTAGAATAGTTTTGTAGAATCACTGGCATTCCTTAATACTAGATGCACAATACATAGTAAAATGAGTTTCCTTGATCCCGCAGTTCACATTTTATACAAAACAGAAAAATACTATTCTAAATTCTAGAGCTGTATGCAGTATGGACATCACCAGGTCTCCTGTTAAATCCCTGCAAACAAAGTTGGTTTGTCCGTATGATCTCTAATATCAGAGAACAGAGGAATATACATACTGACATAGGTCGATCTGGAGGAGCCGAAACCTCCTGATACTTCTTCTGTACTGACTTCAGTATCTGTTTAGATTTAATTCAATATTACCAGTCATTCTTTTAGCAGTGATTTTTACTCATGTTATCTATGACAGTAAGACTAAATCAGAGCAAACACTTTGAGAGGCATATTTAATATATGGGGCAGTTTGAGAGTTGCAAAAAAATGCAGTCATAAATTTGGACTTTGCTGTTTTAAGTTAAATTTTATGAGGCTGATAAGCGTTCATACGTAGTTAGACACTTGAAAAGTAAATTCTTCCCTGTACTTGTAAGATGTGTAGGTCCTAACTCTTGTGAAGTACTGAATTTACTTTTTTTCTGTTTTTACATTCCAGTTCACTTTTCCAATTAAAATGAAAGGCAGGCGTCTTATTTTCAGGACTCATACTGCCTAGTTCAGATTCTTGATTTAAACTGCTAGCAGTAGTTGCTTCCACAGGAAAAAAAATGGTAATAGATACAGGACAATGACTTTTTAGGCCAGATACGAGGGCAGCACTGAAACACAGGTGCTTAAAATTTTGCATTATTGGAGATTTTAGATGTTTAGAAATAATCTCATGATTGAGATCTTCAAATTTACATTAACTTAAATATCAATCAGTCTTGTCTTAGTTCAGGAATAGTTACTTTTCCATGATAGCAGTTAAATATTCTTGTCTAATTTACATACTTGTCAATAGACTGTATGTTCAATGCCCTATGGGATTTTTCTGTGCATTTAATCCTTTTTTAAACTCCTTTCTGGGGTAATATTTCTGGAGGGTTGTTCTGAGTGTCAGTATATGGGTTGACCTGTAAGGTCATGGTTGGATGGTTGGGTTGGATGAACAGCAATGCAAAAGGTGCAGTTGTATAATGCTGAGACTTTATTATTATTATTAATAAATCCGTAAGGAATTTGCAAAGGCTTTAACAGCATGAAAAATTATTTTGAAGGTTCCAGTAGCAATGAAACTGGTGGTGTTATTTTTGACTATCATAAGTGTTAGTCTGATTTTGTTAAAGATTTATATTAATAAATGTGACTTATAAACATACGTCCCTCACATCTGTTGAATAGCGTTGTTAATGGGACGGGAGTTGATGTATACAGAGTGTGGAATGGGGTTTGTTGAGATCTTGAATTTAGTCCCCTATTTATCTGTGATGAGCTCTGAATGAGTCATATCTGGGCACTGGAGTTTGCACAGTTTAATAATAGTGTGGAGGTGGTTTGGTGTTTTCCAGGGGGTGTGTAGACTTACACGTTGACGTTTTAGATAACAGCCTAAATTACCTGCGGGTGAAGAGGGGACGCAAAATCCAGCTTTCCACATCATCGGTAATTGATGCAACTAATACACATAGTTTGCATTGCTCTCTGTTGCACATAGTTTTAATTGCAAATTTAAGTAATTATTAGAATCTTTATATGTATATATGTGTGTGTGTACGTATGTGTATATATAAATACATATGTACACACCTATACATGGGATTCTTTTGGCTGATTTTTCTCCTTGTAGAATTATAGCTGATATTCATAAATTATTTGAGTGGGCTATTATACAATTAGATGCCTCAAAGAATGAAGTTCCTTAACTCATGTTGGAAAGCACATTATTGCCTATATTTTCACTGTGAAGCAAATTACGTGCATTGAGCTTCATTTCTGCATACATCCAGAACTGTTACCATCTTGACTGTTCTGGAAAGTGGTAGCTCTGTCGTTCTTGACCCCCTCTAATGTCCTTA